CTTTCCCTCTCCCTCTCTGTGCCAACAGAGAAGAGGCCCTCTGAGGACCAGTGAGAAGGTGGCCATCTACAAGCCAGGAAGAGAAGACTCACCAGAAACCAAGCCTGCTGGCACACTGATCTTGGATTTCTAGCCCCTGTGAGAAAATACATTTCTGTTGTTTAAGCCACCCAGGGATTGGCCACTACCTTTGCGCATCTTGGCTCAGAGCTGCCAGGAAGAAAGATAGTATTACCACTAAGAATCCAGCAGTTTGCAAAACCGTGAGCATGAACAAAATGTTCCTGCTTATTAGGTTAATTCAGAACATAGCCCCTCCACATACTCAGAAGACTGCTGGCTGCCTGGCCAGCAGCCAAGGAAAGCAGTACACAAAGAACTTTCCAGCAATGCCTGTTTCTCAAGGATGTTTTCTGTTGCTCCTATGGATGTTATCTGCTCCTGTAACCAAGCAGCACATCTTACTCCCATCTGCTTGAGAAGACGGCTGCTCTCCCAATGAGATTACCCCTTCCTCTTCTTGTGTGTATAAAAACATTGTTTTGTTGGGGTGCCCTTTCCTGCAGTTCCAACCAGCCTCTGCTGAAACTTCCCTGCCCCATGAGTAATAAATGGCATGTCACACCCCTCTGGTCCTCCCTGGTGGTTTTTCTGGAATATCCCACGTGCAGATACGTGGCCTGGAGCTTCTGCATTATAATTGGTGTAGTCGGCAAGGTATTCCAGAAAGTACCTGGTTGAGTTAACCTCCGGTATGAACATGTCTGGCAGGAGTCCATCAAGGGCACTCCCAAGTCTAGGGGTGGGGGGTGCAGGTGAGGGGGATTCCAGGGTAGGCCTCTAGTTCCATATTGTTCGAGGTAGCAAGCCTTTTAGATTCTTAGGCCCTGCCAACGGAATAGGGGGATACCCTCAGCATGCCCACAGGCCTCTTACAAATTGTATGGAAAGTAGAGGAATTTTGTTCTTTTAGAAGAAAGAGCTGCAGGCAATAGCGGCCGCAGTGGGCTGGCCCCTTCTTCAGGCACTACATAATACTTAGCTATATTCAAAGAACATTGTAGCAGATGCTCTAAAGATCCTAGCAAATTTACTAATGAATTTGAACAAACTTACTATGATTTATAACTTAACTTGGCAACATTAAAGGTCTTATGAGATTTTTCTAACTCTATGTAATTTTCAAGGTCTCATAGATGGCCTGAAATATAAACGCAGCCAATACTACTTGAGATGGAGATTATTAGAGAAAAAACTAACAACAACAACAAAAAAAACGGAGCACTTTTAAAAGCAAGCAGTCAGTCTCAGCAAGCTGCACCCTACCCCTGCCTTTTTCCAGTTTATGTAAAACTGCCAAGGACAAATAAAATACTTCCAGAAGTTACAAAATATATTCACAGATTTGCCAATCTAAAGATGTTAATTATTTACTTTCTAACTGCTGTTAGACATTAAGGTCTCTGAGAGTTGAAACATTTGTATTATAATAGAGAGGGAAATGGATTTGTTTAGTAACAGAAAGTATAAGGTACAGAGATTTATTTTAAAAGAGATTAAAGAAAGTTTATCCTAAAATTAGTTGTTTCTAAATAAATACAAAGGAAAACTGAAGGGATAAAGAAAGTTGCAGAAGGTCTGTGAAGAGAAATCTTAAAAGAGAAAACTATATATAGTTAAGCTAATGCAACATTACA